CCTGTTTGCCTCAGTTTCCTCATCCATAAAATAAGCTGGAGAAAAAAACAGCAAACCACTCCAGTATCTTTGCCAAGAAAACCCCAAATGAGGTCACAAAGTCTCAGACACAACTGAAATGACTCAACAACAACAACAAAATCATTCACATGATTGTAGTCAATCATAGCTGTAATCACAGAATAAAACAATCATGGAAGAATCAAGATTGTGGGTGGTCTAAAGCACAAGGGAGCACATAAGTGGGCTATGGTCCCTTAGTGACAATGACTTGCATGCAAAAAAGAGAGGCAAAGGAAAAAACACGCAGAAATTCTGTGATCAGAAAAGAAGGTGGGCCAGTTCCATATTTAGAGTGAGATTTGGGGGCATGGCCAAGGCCGGGATCTGTTTTACTTCAATATACATATTTGTAATGGGTTTTCTTTTTTCTTGCTTTCTCAATGAGTAGAGGAGGTAAAGATGGAAGAGAAAAGATTTGGAACTGAAAATAAAATGATTAATTTTTTATAAAGAAAAAGAAAACAGAGAGAAAGAGATAATGAGAGGAACCACCCAAATGTTGCACTGGTGCCCACAAACTGTTGTAAGACCTACAGAAAGGTCTTCAGCAGTTGACCCTTTTAATAATTGAAGAGTTAACAGTGAGGTTGGAAGGTCCTCAACAGGGAGTAATGGGAGGTCACAGACAAGAGTTGCACAGAATGAGAAGGCCCCAATGGGCTATGATCTGCCACACAGAAGGAAAATGAATTGAAGTAGATGAGAAATCTGTATATATCATGTTCTTTTGTCTCTGCACTCTTCACTTTATATTTTTTTTTGTAGCTTTTTTTTTTTGATGAGGCAATTGGGGTTAAGTGACTTGCCCAGAGTCACACAGCTAGTAACTGTTAAGTGTTTGAGGCCGGATTTGAACTTAGGTACTCTTGACTCCAGGGCCAGTGCTCTACCCACTGCACCACCTAGCTGTCCCTAAATTATTTTTTATAAATTTCCCAAAATTCTTTGCATTATTCACTTTTGTTATTTTTCATACTGAAATAATCATGACATTCATATAAATCTGTTTAGCTTTCCCCATCCACTGGACATCTGGGTTGCTTCTAGGTTCTTCCTCTATGAATGCTGTCATCGCTCAGAATATTTTTGTTCAGATAGGTCTTTTTTCCCATCGATAACATTGGGAGGTCATTGTCCTAGTAGTGGGATCACTGACTTAAAGGATATGAGATTTTGTAGTTCTTATCATGATTTCATGTTGCTTTCCAAAAAGACTGCACCAACTCATAGCTCCACCAGACTAGCAGTAGAATAATATTCCTGTTTTTTCCAGTCCGGTCAACATTGAATTGTATCATTTTTAATTTTGTCAGTTTAATGGGCATAAGGTGGTATCTTGGAAGTGCTGAAGTTTGTATTTCTCTGTTAGGGAGTTTGGACACCTTTCCAAGGAGTGATTGGCATTTTTTCCCTATTTTTGAGAACTGTTGGTCACATCTCTATTTGGGAAAGGTGCTTCCCCTTGTAAATTTGTGTCTTTCCTTTATAGACTTTGCTTGTCAACTTGACTTTCCACAAATTCTGAAGAGCTTATCTGACCTGAACTCTGGAGGTTAAGAGGTAAACCAGGCTCAGAACTAAAGAAGATGAGGAAACAGGGCAGTTACATTCAGGAAACAGGACAGTATTTTTAATGCCACCAAACTGCTCCGTCACAAAAGCCCATCCTTTTAACACTAAGATTCTCTCACTGATGCTGTCACTGGAAGCATGGAACACCATGATCTCAGAAGTCACAACTGCAGATGAGATAAAGCGGAAAGAAAAGATACAAGGTGGGTTTGAGCAGGCTTGAAGCACGTACAATGACTACTGAGATGCTGCAAAAGCACCATCAATGATGGGCAGCTAGGTGGTACAGTAGATAGAGCCCTGGGCCTGGAGTCAGGAAGACCTAAGGCCAAAATCCCACCTCAAACACTTACTAGCTAGCTGTGTGAGCTTGGGTAAGTTACTAAATCTCTGTTTGCCTAGGAGATCTCAGATATTTACTAGCTGTGTGACCTTAGGCAAGTCACTTAACCCTGTTTGCCCCAGTTTCCTCATCTGTAAAATGAGCTGCAGAAGGAAATGGTAAATACCACTCCAGTATCTTTGCCAAGAAAACCCCAAATGTGGTCACAGAGAGTCGGACGTGACTGAAACAACTCAAGTGTCTGAGGCCAGATTTGAATTCAGGAAGACATCTTTCTGACTCCAGGCCCAACACTCTATCCACTGTGCCACCTAGCTGCCCTGACTGGGCAGTAAGGCTTTTATAATAATAGCTAAAATTTATGTAATGTTTTATGATTCGCAAAGCACTTTACTGATATTATCTCATCTGATTTTCACAAGACTGGGAGGTGGATGCTACTATCATTCCTACTTTAGAGATGAGGAAACTGAGGCTATGATACACTAACTTGCCCAGGCACACAGCTAGTATCTGAGTCAAGATTCAAACTCAGATCTTCCTGACTTAAAGTTCAATACTCTATCCCTACAACACCTGGCTGCCACATGCTTCTGTGAGGGGCAAGGTTGTCAGGGAAAATTATGATTATTAGCTCCTTATTATCTTCCTAAAACCAAGCAAGTCTCCAGGCTCCAGTGCTCAGCTGGGGCTGACTCCCTACAGAACACACACCATTCAGGGCAGGGATTATAGAATGGGAGAGATGAGCTTGACCTTCAATCCAATTCAACAACCATTACACTTTGTAGGAGCAAGCCTTGGTGATTGTAGCTGATATCGACGGGCATTGCTGATGGTGACAGCTCTGCCTGTCATGGGCAGAGCCTAAGGAATAGCCCCTGACCACTCACCTCCAAGTAAGGACTGTATGATCCAGAAAACGAGTCCCACCCACTGTGGTCACACCCAGTTACACAGCACACCTGTATATTATCTGGCAGGACTATAGGGCACATGGAAGCCAGCTCTTGCAACTAGAGGAAACTTCTCCCTTGGCATGTGAGTTCTGCACATCCTGCAGAGGCAGCTAAGTGGCACAGTGGATAGACTGGTAGATCTGGAGTCAGTTCAAATCCAGCCTCAAATACTTACTAGCTATGTGACTCTGGGCAAGTCACATAACCTCTGTCTGCCTCAGACTCCTCAGCTGTAAAATGAAGACAATAACAGCACCAACCTCTTAGGGTTGTTGTGAGGATCAAACAAAATAATATTTGTAAAGCACTTAACACAGTGCTCTGGTACCTAATTTGTTGGGGGGGGGTTTCAGTCGTGTCCAATTCTTCATTTTCTTGGCAAAGATACTGGAGTGGTTTGCCATTTCTTTCTCCAGCTCATTTGACAGATGAGGAAACTGAGGCAGAGTTAAGTGACTTGCCCAGAGTCACACAGCTAGTAAGAGTCTGAGGCCAGATTTGAATTCAGGAAAATGAGTCTTCTTGACTCCAGACCTGGCAATCTATCCATTGTGCCACCTAGCAGCCCTGGAGGGATATGACATGTAGACAAAAAACACGCTAGAAAGAAGAGTGTGACCGCAACAAAAGGGAGATCCAAATAAAGTCCTCAAGGGAAGTGTGAAGATGGGGGCAGCTAGGTGGCACAGTGGATAGAGCACCAGCCCTGGAGTTAGGAGGACCTGAGTTCAAATCTGGCCTCAGACACTTGACACTTACTAACTGCGTGACCCTGGGCAAGTTACCCAGCCCCATTGCCTAGCCAAAAGGAAAAAAAAAAAGGTGGAAGTATGAAAATGAGAGCACTTTCAAAGAAGGCTTCCTAACAGACATGGCCCCTGAGCTAAAGAAATGCATCATGAGGACAGCTTGTACAAACACAGGGCAGAAGGGGTCCAGCTTGGCTAAAACAAAGAGCACATGATAAGAAATAGAGAAAAGGCTGGAAATCAAGTTGGAAGGCCTCAAATATGAGACCCCAAATATAAAGTACAGATTTTATCCTACAGCTCAGATGTTCCCAACATAGGGTATACCTGCCTCCCCCCAAAGCTTGTCAAAGCATATGGGAAATAGTTCACAAATAACGATATTATCCTACTCAAAATGATCTGTTATGTGCATATGCATGGGAAATGCTAGAATTTATATCCTTTCATATTGAAAAGGGGGTATAAAAAGGTTCAATGAAAGTGGATGGCGGGGGTATCTGACATGGAAATGTGTTTTCCATGGCTACACATATATAACCTATATCAAATTGCTTGCCTTCTCAATGAGGGAGAAAGGGGAGGGAGACAATTTGGAACTCAAAAATTTTAAAACAAATGTTAAAAATTGTTTTTACATGTAATTACAGAAAAATAAAATACTGAACACTAAAAAGAAAAGTGGGAGGGGATGGGACTGAAAAAGTGTGGGAACCCGTACTATAGGCAATGAGGAGAGCTGAAGGTTTCTGAGCAGAAAAGGTACCGAATCAAAGCTGTGCATTGGAAAATTATCTGGGGACCTGATGAAGAATGAATTACAGAAAAGAGAAAGAAAACAAAGGAGGTCAATTAGGAGGCTATTGGAAAGAAGTCCAAGAAAGGTCCAAGAAGAAGTGAAAATAGCTTTGATAATAATGATAGTAACAATAATAACAGCTAACATTTATATAGTGCTTTAAAGTTTGCAAAACATTTATTTCACTTGATCCTCACTATCACCATGGGAGGTAGGTATTATTGTTATCCCCATTTAACAGATGAAGAAACTGAGTGTTCCCTAATGGGTAGGGTTCTATGATGGGGCTCCAAGAGTCTATTTGCTGAAAACAATTCCAGAGGAATCAAGATAAAACATGCTCCCCACTTCTTCAGAGGACTCAGAGTGCAAATTGAGACATAGTTTTCTGGGCATGGCCAATGCATTAAGAATGTTTTACTTGACTATACATGTTTGTAACAGGGGTTTTGTTTTTTATTCTTCAATGGGGGGGGCAAAAGGGGGAGGAAGAAGTGAAAGGGAGAAAATTCAGATCTGAAAACGAAATAAAATTTAATTTTTTTTAAAGAGTCTCATGTCTTCAAGGATCAGTGGTCCTCAAGTTTTGGGTTACAAAAGCTGACAACAAGTCTGCAGCATGTGATAAATCTGACTCTCAGACACTTGTCTGAAACAGATACTTGACTCTCAGACACTTGTCCAAAACAGATCGATCCACAAATCCAACTTTATTTTGAGAAGCACAGACCTGGAGAACCAGACACTGGGCAACTCTAAGATCTTCCAAGGGCTCTCTCTCCACCACCTCACCCCACTCCCAGCCCTACTCTGACCCTAGAGAGCAAGCTGCATGTGAGAGATCAGATGCCAGCCCAGCAGTGAGTGTGCCCTCGGCTCTCCAAGGTTTATGAATACCAGTCATCATTACCGCAACTGACATCCCTATCTAAACCACAGGGTGTCTGGAGCTGCAGATGATGGGGCCCAAAGTCCATGGCACCAAAGGCACTATTGCCCCTTTGAACCCCAAGGAGACATCTGTAGACCACTGATAATATTTTCGTGTTCTTCATGGCCACGTTCACTTCATCCTGACTTTCTACCCCTTCAGTCTTAGCCCAGCCCCAAGAAGCAGGGATTAATTACTGTCTACATCAGGGAAGCAGATCCAGAAGTCAGGCTGCACACCCAAATGTCCACAGCACTGGAATTCAACCTCAGCCCTGTGGCCTCTCCCAGAGGACAGCAGCCTCAGTGCACCACTCCTCCTCTTCCTGCCACTGCACACACCTGCCCTCACTGCCCTAGGGGCAGTCAGCTCCTCTCAGCCTGATCCTCACACACAGAGGGCTGCAGTTTACTGTGGATAAAGTCCACCAGCTTCCCCAACTGCTGCCCCAGCTTCTGATCTTCACCGTGGTTCTCAATGACCCAATCAAATGCTCCATAGTGGTCCAGGCCGCATTCTGATTCAGCATCATCCACTCCTGTGGAAAGAGGAACATGGAGGTCAGGTCACTCACTGCCTCTCCAAAGGTCAACCCATAAAAACCCCATCCCAGAGTTAGAAAGGACCACAGACGCCATCTGGTGCAGCTCATCCCTAGATAGGAATACACTCCACAACATTCTCAATAAGTGCTCATAACTCAGGGCAGCTAGGTGGTGCAATGGATAGAGCACCGGCCCTGGAGTCAGGAGGACTTGAGTTCAAATCGGGCCTTAGACACATAACATTCACTAGCTGTGTGACTCTGGGCAAGTCATTTAACCCCAATTGCCTCACTGAAGGAAAAAAAAGTGCTTATGACTAAATAATAATCATGTAATGATAATTTACTTAAACATTATTTAGTTAATTTAATCATTAAATTATTGACAGTAATTCTCAACAAGTTACCATGATAAAAATAATTGTTGAGATTTCTACTTAAAGACCTACAAGGATAGGTAAACCATGGCCACATGAGATACTTAGTTCCATTTCTGGCCTCCTCTCTAAATCATGACTGATGAGAGAATTGCAAATTAAAACAACTCTAGAATACCACTTCACACCTGTCAGATTGGTTAACATGACAGAAAAGGAAAATGACAAATGCTGGAGGAGATGTGGAAAAACAGGGACATTACTGAATTGTTGGTAGAGTTGTGAACAATTTGGAACTATACCCAAAGGGCTATAAAACTATGCATCAGACCCTTTGACCCAACAATACCACTACTAGGTCTGGAAAAGGACTTAATTGTATAAAAATATTTATAGCAGTTTTTTGTTGTTTTTTTTTTTTTTTTTG